CAAAGAAAGTAATGAGGTACCTGCAAAAGACAAAGAACCATTTGCTTATATATAGAAGGACCGACAGGCTTGAAGTGGTGGGTTATACAAACTCTGACTCTGCTGGTTGTCAGGATAGTATGAAATCCACTTCAGGATTTATCTTCATGATGGCTGGAGGAGCAATTTCATGGAAAAGTATTAAACAAACATTAACAGCTTCATCCACCATGGAGGCAGAGTTTATTGCATGTTATGAGGCCACTTGTCATGCATTATGGTTAGAGAACTTCATCTCAAGACTTGTGATTGTAGATTCTATTTCTAAACCATTGATGATTTTCTGTGACAATTCCGCTGCAGTTATGTATTCAAGGAACAACAAGAGTTGAGGAAAATCTAAACATATAGATATTAAATACCTTGTTGTAAAAGAGAGGATTCAGAACCAGCTTGTGTCTATTGAGCACATTAGTACACAACAAATGATTGCTGATCTAACGACTAAAGGGTTGCCGCCTAAGCTATACGGTGAGCATGTTGCTCATATGGGTATTATTGATAGCTTCGATTTACTTAGTTAGTGGGAGGTTATTTTTGACTCAGTTGTAGACACATTTGTATTTGTGATCACATTTTCTTATATTATATTATCCTCATTTATTTAGTTTTCCATATTGGTGCACATGTGTATGGAAAATTATAAATGTCATTTATGAGACATGGTGTGTCCTTATTGAGACGCGGTAGGACCGAAGCATGGCATAATACTTTATTGTTTAGCACATGTGGTATTTATGTATAATCTTGAAGTTAAGTGTATTAATGTTTGTGACCATTGATGTCCTATATTATTAAATAATATAATGACGTCATTGATCCAATATTAGTATACTTGTAAGGACTTCATGGAAGTTGTTTGGTACAATTATTACCTAAATATAGATAATTTATTTAAAGTATGCACACCAACATTATTTCAAAATATTTTTTCATAAAAAAAAAAAAAAAAAAAATTAATTATGATTATAAGACTAAGTGGGAGAATGTAAGAATTTAATGGTCATATTATAATAATTAATCTTTATTTTATTTTAATTATTTTATTGTTCATATTTAGGAGATGTAACGTTGTATCATAACAGTTATTTAATTACAGAGCGATGTGTTGGTTGATGGAACCAACATGTCTCCTCTTGGCAATGCTTAGAAACGGTCCCAACCCTCTATATATATACGTGAAGGAAAGGTCTGAATTCATCGTTCAGTTTCACAGATAAAGATAGAGGGTTGAAGAGTGTTTCTATATGGTGAAGTGTTTCTGTGTATCAGAGTGTTTCTATAAAAGTTGTTCTCAAACACAAACGGCTAAAGATGGCAGGTATGTTTCTAAACAATGTTTATGCATTAGAACCATGTATTTTAAATATTGTTGAATTTGCTTACAAAGCATTGTAATAGGTTACAATGGTTCATATTGAATATGTTATGTGTTGGTTTTGAGTTATATCTTTTTATTCCACAAGTAATAAGTGATCACACATGTTCAGTCCAAGACATCTATTGATGACTAATAAAACAATTTTCATTTACAAATTCTAACACATTCATCATCATCCCATCCAACAAATTCATCCCAAGCTGATTTGGCATTGTCAAAATCAACATGATTTCCAATATCTTTCTTAATTAAGAGTTATTTTTTTTATCAATAATCAGACTGTTTACAACTCATTGGCACTGGGCAGACTTGAATCTTGAATCCTGAATCTTCACACAGGACCAAAATTCAGGTTCTTGGGAATGATTCACCGCTGCTGTCTAAGCGTTTTGTGGCTGTTTAACTGATGTGTCAACACCCAATTTTGCACTTTTGAACTGTATATGCTGTTGACTTCTTTCTATAGTAAGTTATTCTATCAAATATTCACATTCTTATGCATTCATTTGTTGAACCCTTTCTCTCCTAATGTCCAGATTTGCGAGAGAAATGATTCCGTTTTGTTCTAATAGAGTGCTTAGTCGAGAAAATTGATGCGAAATCTAATGCTGTAGTCTTTCAACGTCTTTTTTTTTGTGGTTACCTTGCTTCCTTATCTAGCCATAGATCTATAGGAATCACAGTTCTTAAAGTGAAGGCACTGATCCTACTTGAAGCAAATAGAAATGAATACAAGTCTTCTTACAAGAGGACAGAAGACTAGAAATACTTCAATAAGGCAATCACCGTTGGACCTTAGATTTATAAAGGATTATTTGGGAAAAGCCTGAAGAAGTGTTTATAAATTCATAATAACTCAAAATTATACTTCTTTTGTCCCAAAAAAAATAAAATAAAAAATAAATAATATATTGCTTTCTTTTTTGTCTGTCCCCAAATATTTGTCATTTTCCTTTTTCAAATAATATTTTTAACATCTTTCCATATATGTCTTTAAAATTTCAAACTTAATATTCACATTTTAGAAGGACAAATTAATAATTTTTTAGAAAGATAAGACATGTTCTCCATGTCCCTTTAAAAATTTCAAAGGCATCTAAATCAGGACAGAGAGAATATTGATCATGACATGATTACAGGAAATAGACAAGTGTGTTCCTTTTATAATAATACTATTAATAACCCTTCACTTTGCTAGACTGACTTTTAGGCTACTGAAAAAGAAATAATGATTGCTTTTACCATTCCCATGACATTTTAGATTTCCCATACCATAATTAAAACTTGGACCAACACTTTCCAAGGCTAGTAATTATTATTTGCATCAGAACATCCTCCTTGAAGAAAACTCACCTTTGAGTTTGAAATAATATACCACGACGTATTAAGAACACCAACAATATCTTCCATCATTTCTATATTTTTTTACCAGCAAAAAACATATTTTCATGAACTTCTCGTGCTCTTTCTCTAACTTTAGAGATTTTTTAAGCTTACTTGAACACCTATGATGAAACAAAACTCGAATTAATATGATTTTCGAATGAGAACAACTCCAAGTTATATGTCACAACAAGAAATCATTCCTAAATTGAGTCATAATTATGGAATTGATCATGAATATGAAATCATTCCAAATTGAATCATTCTAAGTTATATTGACGGCTGTGACACCTAATTATCATGAGTAAGATTGTGTATAGTTAACCCTCCTTAGACCTATAAATGAGCGCGGGCGACCTTTCTTCATCCTACCCAACACCATTTAACCACCTGATGGCCTTTCTAAATCAATTTTTCTACCCCTTACTAATTGTTGGAATTTGTTAAATATTGACAGCTATTACGTCTAATTGTTATAGAAAATGCTTATAAATTTACAATATGATGACTGTTGATTTTCTTTTTCTTTTTCTTTTTCTTTTTTTGCACACATTTTATTCATAGCTTGAGATATTTATATATGCCTGTGTGAAAAATCTATAATGATTTTAAAATTTTTTACTTGATTATATATATAGATTTATAATTTATTTTTTTAATAGGAAAGCGATCTTACTCTCATAAAGGTTTTCGAATGTTGATTTTTTTCGTTTTTTTGTTTTTTTTTTGTTTTTGTTTTTGTGTGTTTTTTTTTTTTTTTTTTTTTTTTTTTTTTTTTTTTTTTTTTTGGGTACAAATAACACATGCACTTACTTGTCCTATGGGAACTTGAATTCTTGTTCTTTTACATTGGAATGTTGACTTAAGAGTGCTATTTTTTATTTTTTTTTAACTTTTATTATTATAGAAAACATAAATTTATGCTTGTCAATAAACTGAATTGTGTATATTTTAATATACAATACATTTTAAAGTATTTCCCATTGTACATTTTGATTAATCGGGTCTTTTAGTCATGATGATTGATAACATACAAATTACTCGATAATGTTCCTTTTATTTCTTGAAGAATCTTTTGTTAACGGATAGTTTTTAAGAGTTTCTTAGTTAAAATCTTATTATCACAACTTAAAAGTAAATTAATTCACCCAACAACCCTTTTTTTCACGGTAAATAATACACTCCCACCTTTACTTTTTACATGTTAGAAATACTGCGAGAGAGAATAATATGATTATATAAAGGTCCTATATATAAAAAAAGGTTTTGGGATTGGTGAGTGATGAACAAGTAACCTATATATTGTAATATGATAGGTGTAATCATATATGATAATTTATAGTATATAAGAAACTTAGGTGGTAGGTAAAATGGAAAACTTGTAATCTAACTACCCCCTCAAACTCAAGGTGAGTATGAACCCAACTTAAGATTGAAGGTAAGAACATGAAAGCCGCTTGACGAAAATTTAGTGGATATAGGTTTTCACCAGTGATGAAAATGGAGGCACGATTAACAGGTGACGTGCATGTAACATGTCACTACAGTTGCCACTGCTGTTGACTGTGTCTGACATTGCCGCTGTCGCAGCATTACTGTTGGCACCGCTACTAACTACTGACTATGTCTAACATGGCAACTATTGTGGCAGATGACAGACTACTGTTGACTATGTTTGAGAATGAAGCACTAACGAGGCAGAATTATGGTGCTATTGCTGTGAAACTATGATGATTTGTCTTGGATGCTGATTGGGTGGCCAGATAATGGTTTTGTTGATTATGAACTTGAGATTGAATGTTGGGGATGTGAGAGCATAAATTTGATGGTTGATCGCAGCGAGAATGGGGTTGATGTGCCATCCTCAGCGGTGACTATAATAAAGTAATAAGACTTTTTATTAGTGAACAAAAAGCTCTGATATCAGTTAAAATTTTGAGAAAGAAAATAATATGATATTTTATTGCATTATTGAAGATTACATAAAGTTCCTATATATAGGAGAAGGTTTGTGGGTAGATGAATATTGAACAAGTAACTTATATATGGTAATATGGTAGGTATAATCACATATGATAATTTGTAGTATGCAAGAAACCTAAGTTGTAGGTAAATGGGTAAACTTGTAATCTAACAAACATCGTTTTTTCTTAATCTTATTCAAATAAAAGCAAAAAGAAACAGAAATACTTTCGAATAGACAACAAAAATGAATACTATTTAAAATTTTCTCATGACGAAAAAAAGATTTAATGTTGTTCAATACAACCCAACCTGTATCCACAGACGAGAAGAGAATTTTCTATAAATTTTGTACAGAACTACAAAGTAGATAATAAGCACCAACCTAGTATTCAAATCACTCAAGCGTTATAATCCTCTTCTAGTGATCAGTTTTCCTTGAGCCATTCGATAATCAAGCTTCTTTGCTTGCCATTGGATTTCATTCATTCTATTAACCATCTATGGGACTATCACAAAGTACAACTTAAGAATGGAAACCTAATTTGGAAAAGGCACTACCTTCAACTTTTAAGATCGATAGAATCAATGCAACCGCTACCAAAACAAAAATGGGAACCAGAAAATGCTCAGGAGAGACCACATTTTTAGATGCCTGAAGTGACAAAAACTGAAAAAGCTATACCGGAGCTGGAGACTGAATGATATATACCCAAGTGCTCTTTTGCAGTGCCACTCCAATCTTCTATGCCTGCTCAGTAATACAAATCCTTTGGATTATACGATTTACGATGCCTGACGTCGATTTTGGTTCTTGGACAAGGTTTGTTCAAATTGGATCGGTGAATTATTATTCAGCTAAATTTATTACTTTACCTGATGCTAGTTTTACACTTCCCAGTTGTATGGATTAAGCTATCTCTATCATGACTAATTATGAAAGGGAAGAAAAAAAAAAAGAGAAAAGAAAAACTTTCTATATTTTTAACAGATGGAAGAACTATTGAGAATTTAGGAAGTAGTTCTCTGCCTCATCCATTTTGTAGCTGACCACTTCTCCCCCCCAAGTACTTCACATCCCCCATGTATGCTGTTTGGGTCAGACTGTCCATCTAGCCCCTGAAAAAATATTCAACCACATAGTGTAATAATGAGATGCAAGCTATTTTTTAATCCATCTAAAGATCAAAAAGTACATAACAATCATTGTGCTTCTTGTAATGTAACTTGGAAATCAGACAGTATTTCACATTTTTATTAGGACAACTTGTTTATATTTTACTTCAATGAATTTTTGTTTTTTGTTTTTCCTTCTCTTCTGATATGTTTGCTTAATCATAAGCAATCCTTCTAATTTCAGCTATTCTGCAGACAAGCATGGCAGCCTTACATTCAGGGACTGCAAATGAGTTGGACATTATAATGAAAATATACTCGAATCATTCCCATAAGTCACAGAACGGTCTAACTTGTCCTCAAAAATTTCTAAATAATAGATGTATCTCGACATCCCTTGTTTCTCCTAATCTACGACTTTGATTTGAGATTTTTTCTGGAACTTTTTACACAATAGTTACTCGTTTTCAACTGTCAGATGCTAAATGATTTTCCAATCCTAAATGTCTAACCATAAAGAGCAACTGGAATGACTCGCCCGATTGCCAAGCAGCAAAGTACCAAAATTTGGTGAGGATTCTCAGGCCTTTTTGAAAAATTTCAACTACTGTTTATACTTTTGACGGGAACCAAGCAAACTAACCAAACATACTGAAACATATTTAGGCACTCAAACCAAAATTTTCATTTATCATAAACTAATTGCAATTTCAGATTCCAACTGATTTGTAATAAGATAAACATGATCAAATTAGTATGCAAAGGAAACAAACCATGCTCCAGAAAAGCACTGCATCTCCTTTATTAGGTTTTACACACAACCCTTTCACCATTTTTCCACCACAGCTGCATTCGCCTGAACCAGCCTGAAATCATTCAAAAATTAGTAACACACCCATGCAATGGAAAGAATTTGAGTACATAAACAAACAAGTACATAGATATATAAATAACAAGATAACTTATATAAAAATTGAAAAAATTAATATTTTATGGCAGAATGACTTAATGGTATATTTAAATGAATGGATGGATATGAAACTATGATACCGACATGGCAAGATGACGAATTCTTAAAGAATAAGAAAACACACAGCAAGGACCTGACAATATATCTATGGTAAATTAAAACAACAATTGTATGATACCAACATACCCTTTTTAAAAGATAATGAAAAACTGAAATATATTGCATGGAGATGAAATTTTGACTAAACCATAAATTCTTCTCTTATGAAGAAATTTAAGGATTTGGAACCCCAGTTGCCATTCCTAACATATGACATTCTACTTAGAATAGTTTCACTTTCAAATATTCAAGTCCTATTAGACATGTAACCTAAAGTAATTGAAATGGATATGACAAATTGCTGGAGTATTTAAGAAGTACTGAATATCTGCTTGGAAAAAAAAGAGTTTATTTTCAAACTATGAAGTCTAATTGATGAAATTCATGGAAAGAGTGATTCTAAGTAATGCTTTTTGAAGAACTTGTTCAGGACGCTTGTGTCTTTGATCAAAGATTTTACTTGGGTTTTTTTTTTTTTTTTTTCTCTCACATTTGTCAGCAAGCAAATACAGTACCAGATGCTTCAGCAACTGGTACCAGGAAGATGGTTCCAAGTCTCTCCTGATACCAGGGCGACATAGCTGAGTCCTCTTGGAATCATAGGGATCCAAGACAATATGTGACATGTTACAAAAAATTAGTTGGATGATGCAATCTTGGTCTGTATCGTGAGACAATGACATCATCTTTTCAGGTACCACGAGAAGACTCACATCTCCGCATCTCACAAATTCTCCTGTAAGATGTCTCATGGCTATACCAAGATTCAGCTGAGAAGACATCGCCTCATTTATGCAACATAAACCCAATAGTCAGAGAGATCTTGTTGATTTACTTGCTTCTTAAACATTCAAACTCTGCATACAAGTCAAATTCTCCATGGAAATTTCATACACCAAGTATTGGTTCTTTTTCAACCATCAATTGCGAGTTAGGCTTGGAGCAAAATATCTGAGTTTCTTCAACAAAGAATGCATGCATCATTTTCAATTTCTGACTTATTTGGATATCAATTGTGAGTTAGGCTTGGAGCAACATATCTGAGTTTCTTCAACAAATAATGCATGCATCATTTTCACTTTCTGACTTATTTGGATATCATCATCATCCTTTAATTTTGCACATATTTATAAATTATTTATGAATTGAAATGTTATACATTTAGAATACAAGTATACATTTTTTTTGTTTAATTTTTAATTTTTTTTTTAAATTCATTAGATCTTTGTAGAACTATGACATGCTTAACTAAGAAAAATTAGAAATCAAGTTCTACAGTACTTCTTGTTCAAAACTATTATACAAAATGATCGTATGTAGTGACAGTAGACTAGTTTGGTGAAGCTTGCATTACTTTTTGAGCCCTATATACTAGATATTTTGTTTTCGGTTACTTGATGGATCCAATCTGTCCCTCCCAACACTCTCAATTAATGAGAACCGCATTAGCTAATGACCTTATTTTATGTGATGGATACATTTTGCGTTCTATTTTTTCTTTCTTTTTAATTTTTACAATGTTCTTTGTAACTTTTTGAGTCTTATATCTAATGCATTGCCTCATATAAGCCGACCATGACTTTGAAACAAAGAATTGACTATTCTATGACATGTGGTATTAAAGAATTGACTATTCTATGAAATGTGGTATAGGTTAATTTCATAGGGAGCTAATGGAAAGTAAAACAAGATGTCTATGCTTTAGCATCAGGTATAGTAGTTGAAATTTACTTCGAAAATTTTAATTGAGGTACCTTAAAATTTAGGTCAACACAACACAACTTAAGCATTCAAGGTTCAAATATAATTACCACAGGAAAGTATGTTTCTCCCCCCTCAACATTGTCACTTAAATACATAAGCATTGTTGCAACTCGTTGACCACCTCGCTTCAAGTTAAACTGCCATTAAAGCATTCATACTCTCATCAGCATGAGATAAACATAAAGGGAGATTAAACTAATACAGGTGAAAAGAGATGTGATGGAGGTGATAAAAACATTAAAGAGTAAATTACTTACAGTATCAGAGAAGTAGTCATGATGAGGTCTGTAAAACTGATTTTTTTCGTACCTGTGCTTCTGCAAATGTTAGCCTTGATACTGCAACATATTAGTCTTCCTGCTAATATAGACACTTAAAAAGGGAATTAAGTAATATCCTCACCTTAATACTTGAATGAGCTCCCCATTTTCTACTGGTATTTGAGAATAGACAGAAATTCGTTTTTCAATTGCCTGATTGTGCAAGAAACAAAGTAAGATATTGTTAATCATTTGCCTGATATTAGTATATGATATGCGGCACTCAACTACTGATGCAGAATGTTATATGGTACATCATATCCAGAAATTTGAGAGAAATAGAATTAAAGTAAACTTCCCAATGTACCAACCTGTATCATTGGATACTTTCTCTCTTCAGGATTCAAAAACATACCAGAGCTTGTCCTAACATCACTCTTGATTCCCTATAAATGGGCATACAATAAATTCAATCAGGTACTAATTTGGGATTACAGGGATAAAAAACAAACTAGTCTGAAAATAAAAACACGTTTCCCATATAACTTTTAAACATCATGCCGCAAAAAAGGAAAACAATGATAGTGAACTATCTCCATATGATAACTGGCCAACTTTTAACCGTTGTATATAAATATGATCAAACTTGTGAACTGTCTTCACATAAATTGTTAAACTTCAAAACAATTTTGATGATAGAACAGCTAGACAGATATTAAACCTAGGTTGAGTAAACGATTTCATTCCCCAGACATTGGACTCAAATGGAAACTGGAAATTGAAAAAAATAAAATTTAATGATTCAATATGGATGTGAACTAAATTTTATAAAATAAAAAACTTGTTGACCGTTGTATATAAATACGATCAAACTTGTGAACTGTCTTCACATAAATTGTTAACCTTCGAAACGATTTTGATGATAGAACAGCTAGACAGATATTAAACCTAGGTTGAGGTAAAGATTTCATTCCACAGACATTGGACTCAATCTCAAGTAGAAACTAGAAATTGATAAAAAAATAAAAATAAAAAATTTCAATATGGATGTGAACTAAATTTTATAAAATAAAAACTGCCATATTCAACAACTCAATGAATATTTAGGAAGCACAACCAAAAGAAGGTGAATATGGCAGCATACTGCCCTGAATATCCACGTAATTCAATTTCTAAATGCACACCAATATCCAAATGTGGATTCCGCCATTGTGGATTACTGATAGGTTGTGACTGGGTAGTGGCTACAAACCTACCACTGGCATTATTTGCACAGACAGGCCATCCACAGGCTCATTCAAATTTTTACTATTGCACCAAGCAATAGCCCCCGAGATCGGGATGAAGAAAGTCCACCAAATGACTGAAGTTAATTCTATCTAATGGAATTACTTGCAGTAATCAAAACAATAAAATTGAAAGCCGGGGGTTGCAGTTTTTTGGTGAATGGAGGATCTTGTTTAGATAATTTCATGACATAAAACTAACTGCAGTACATGCAGAACTATAACTGGAAAATTAATCCAATCAGCCTTGATAGTCTTTATCCCTGTACAGGGAAATTAGAGTCCATAAAACAATGGAACATGGAGTTGGGTAATGACTATTCTCCGTTCTAGGTCAATGGAAGCGTATTTACTCACTCTCGTGCGCACATATGCACAGACGTCTTGAGATTTCTTCCTCACTTTCATACTACTTATCAACTCTCACTTATAAGTTAATTTACTATGAGAACAACTGGAAACTTATTTCCTTTTGATAAGTATTATTAAATTAAAAGCATCAGAAGGGAGCACAACCATGACATATAAAACGTACATGAAATCAAAAACCTATGCTCCTACCAGAAAACTCAAGTCTCTTCTAAAATCTATAAAGGAATGAAAATAATGAAGTGATTTCTTCCCAAATCCAAAAATTTAAATGTTATGACAAATGTAGCAAACCAAGAAACAATCAAGAAACACGACAGAAAAATAAACATGGCACACACAAAGAACACTAAGATTTAGCGTGGTTCAGCAAAGCCTACGTCCACAGTGAAGATCAGGCGAAAGTTTTCGCTATGAGAAAATCTGGAGATTATAATTTTTAACCCCAAACCCTAGCTCTTGCTCTCATTCTCCTTTCTGCGATTTTCAATGTCCCACTCCAAACCCTAACGCCCTTATATTTCGGATTACAAGAGAGTACTAAACAGGGTCCATGATCTGCAAGTAAAAACCAGGTCAAAAAATTTTCCAACAGGTTGTCTGGCCTAGGCCCACACAAACCTCAATCAACGGTTCATCAAGTCAAAAGCGGGCCACAAAGCGACGCAGAACCAAATTCGGGCCACAACATCACAGTAAAGAATTAAGCATTAACTTGTTGAATTGATATGGCAGACCTCCACCATTTCAAATTTATGCACTCTCCTATCCTTCCAAACAATCCATGCAAGGCAAAAACACAGCCGCCAAAGCCTCCTCAAAACCCCCATCACCAACCGTAAACCACAATCATCAACTCTCACCGACCAACTTATAGTCCAACATACAGCAGATAAGATATGTTGAACAGGGACCCTCTGGCAACCTGAAGATGGAGCAACAGTAGTCAACAGTTTGCTTTGCCAATCTGCATGTCACCCTGATTCCAAAGCATCTTCTCCTTCAAGCCCGAAAGGTAAATAATCAAAATTGCCTCTACCACAGTTGTCCACGGGAAAAAAAAGGCACCAGTTTCTCTTTCATCCAGCAAATGTCTTTTCATGGAAACCAGAAGCACTTACATCATCACAGAGCACTTTATAAAATGTTGTCACCTCAAATATTGGCACTACCTTGCACCTTCGATATTGGGGTCTTCTACCTACCCATACTCACATGACTGCCATACAACATCTCAAAGAAAGCCCACACAGCCTTGAATTCCTAATCCTTCCCTGCTCCATGGAACTGACGATCTCACTCCACCCCTCTATCAGGGGGGGGGGGGGGGGGGGGGGGGGCGGAAGAATTGTTATTTGATGAAACATAGAATCAATTACTAAATTTATCACTCTAGAGGTAGAGAGAAAATCCAATCTAATATATGTGATACAGAAAAAACAGTGAAGACAACCATTAAGAAATATCTCACATCATTCATCAAGCCAAAACTGGACCTGAGTGTCTTGTCCAACAACAAATTGACAAATTTGGAGTATTCCTCCCATCCCTTCCCTGTATCCTTCCAATATCCTATAAATTTCTCATATTACTAGATGCCCATCTTCCACTTTTTTACCTATATTTCCCTCCTTACAACTTCTTCTATAAACCATATGCTTCAACCACATGCAAGCCTTGTTCTATATTCAAAACAATATGGAGCATGAAAACTAAGTGACACCAAAGACAATCGATATAAGAATTTATGTTGAATATTCACCAATTCAATGTCTTAACTATAATTGCAAACACAATACATAGATGTAAGATTAATCAATAAGCAACAAAGAAACAATACAGAACATTTTGATGGAAGCCCGTAGTGAAAAAAGCATTTGGTCGCATGAATCATCAAAAGAAACATTACAGAAGATCTACACAAAGTTAACTGAAACACAAGATTTCAACTAATGGAATCGGAAGAAAAAGAAAAGCCACACACCTTTCCAGTTTTTGTATCCACCACAGTAGAAATCTGAAGACGGGGACTGGCAATTGCTCTAAGATAATCACATTCCTACAAAGTCAATAAAATTGCACTTTCAAACTACGCAACATCGACACAGGATCTTTGTAGTTTATGAGAATAATATAATTACTGCACATTGCAAACAATCACCTTAACTAACTTGAAAATACACAAAAAAGATAAACACTTGCAATGCTGCTTTTTTAGCCAATAAAGGTTTAAACAAGTTCCATGATTTCAATCTTGAATGAAAACTGTTCAGTGTGAGTAGAGCTAGTCAAAGAAACAATGAATGACAGGGTGTCAGATGACTCAGATGCACAACGTTTCAGGAGGAGTATCTGTATCACGCATGCTCCTCTACTGATGAAAAAATGACCTTCTATCATCTTCTACGAATTACTATCCCTAAAAAGTGCAAGAGTATTCACCATGAGTATGCTTCTGCACTCGGAATATCTAATAGCGGGAAGGCCCAGAGATCATCAATGAAGTTTTTATAGGTTATATATATTGAATTAGTGTATATATATTTGGCTTTTCTTTTTCCTTGTAGAAAGTTTCTATCTTGAAAGAGTCCTGTCAGCCAAGGAAAGTTTTAGAACAAGTACATGTTTTTCTAATTCAATTTCTTAGTAGTTTATTTTATTGTTTTAAGCCATTTAATTTTTTTTTTTCAAGTTCTTTTTAGTTTTTTTATTTTTTTGCTAAGTTATAGTAATTATATTGCCAAGGTTTTCTATTTACTCTACAGTCATGGCCATCTGTAATTCCATCAGAATTATTGATGCCACAAACCCTAGGAATATTAAGGGGGTGAATTCTCTCCTATGCTATCCTGAAGTGCAAGCATTGCTTATAGTTTGATTTTCTACATTGACGGTGAATGCCAAGAGGACATTCGTTGTAATGCTTCTTGATTTCAACTCCAATGCCCATGACAAAAAGAGAAGACAAAAGTAGGTGCTGGTTTCACCCGAGTTTGTTTTCCAGCTGGAACAGTGTGTTACATTCCAAATGGAGAAGACCCATAACTAGCGTGGCACAATCTGGTACCTGGAAGAGAATAAGCATTTGAAGACCCTTACTGGTGTTCAAATGTCAGCAGTAGTGTTACTTTTTACCTGCATGGTACTGGTCTGATTTGGCTGCAAAGTTTGTTCTCCCATAATTGGGAACAACGTTGGTAATCTAATAATAAGAGGACTCATAGCATCAGAAGCCCAGTATGGGTGTTCAAAGATAAGTACTAGTGTTATTTGACCCATACAGTTGTGATCCAGGGAATCATCCCTACTTTGAATCCTTCTTGTTCTCGTATTTGGGTATGAACAAGGGTCTACTATGATGTTTGGGAAGTGACTCATTCTGTTGTATGAGTGTGTTAGGATTTGAAACTTCAGTAGCCATGTAGTCTCTTCATCTTTTCAGTGACACTTCTCAATCTCCTTCGCCCATTGATGGAATCTTTAAGCGAAATCACTTAGAACTTTTTGTGCTTTCTGTGAACGTCGTTTTCTGCATCTATTATGAAGTTTGGAAAGTGAGTCATTCTGTTGTATGAGAGTGTCAGGATTTGAAACTTTGGTAGTCTCTTCATCTTTTTAGTGAAACTTCTCACTCTTCGTTTCCCGTTGATGGAAGCTTTAAGCAAAATCACTTGATACGTTTTTTGTGCTTTCTGTGTACGTGGTTTTCTGCACCTTTCTTTGTTTCCATCTGAAACCTAATTTCTGATTTGCCTGCAACTATATAATATCAGAGCTTCGGCATGGTATCAGAGATTCTCATAGTGCATTCAACCAGCTTGGTCAACACAATGAAACTTTTGTATAGGCAGAGAGTGAAGGTTAACATGCTTAAAGAACAATATCCATATGTGAAACTTTTGTGTGAGGCAGAGAGTGAAGGTTAACATGCTTAAAGAACAATATCCATATGTGAAACTTTTGTGTGAGGCAGAGAGTGAAGATAACTTGCTTAAAGAACAATATCCACATGTAACTATGTCGCATATCAAAGAAAGTAAAGAGAGCTTTCTTCCAAATTAACTAACCATGCCAAAGGCCTAAAACTATCTAAAATAGAGTAACTAAGATCAGATAGCAAAATGACACAATCACGTCCATCTCAATCCTCCAAAGATCTACTAATTTCGGCTAGACATACTAAAGAAGAAGATAAAATTTTCTTCTCAAAAAACATATTTGTCCCTCCTTAATTTACCGAATGGTCCACAATTGTAAGAGGTAAGCCATCTCGAAGATTAACATAATGGAACCTGCACAGTATATATAAAATAAAGTATATAAAGCACGTAACCAAAACGTGGGATCCAACTAGTAAAGTAGCATACTAAATTTGAGTTGGAATGAGCTATAATTTGCATATTCTCAATATTAGACGTTGAACCAGTCACAAAGTTGTACTGAAAGGAACAAAACCATTTCCAACACACTTCCTGCTTCACCAGCCCACCCCTAGGAGTAAAAAAGAAAAGAAACGGAAATATATATATATATATATATGGGACTTTTCAAATGCAACAGTGTATGACTAATTAAGTCTCTGAATAGCTTGCATACAAAGTTCCTGGATTGAATTTTACAAGCCTGATCCATAGATAAGGGAAGTTTGGTGTATTTGGCATAGTTAAAAGGGACATGTAAAATCAGCAGAACTCTAAATACTGAAAATAATATATGCAAACGAAGCTTTTGGCATGGAAAATATTTTTAAAATTCAAAACCTGCTTTTATAAATTTTAATCAAGAAAATCTTGAATATTAAAAGTAAATTAAAAAATAGACATGTTCTGATTGTTAGCTGACACGTCATTACAACAATATCAAAAGGTCCTTCTGATCTACAGTTTTTTTTCTAAAAATATTTGATCGCCACCCCGTGGTTACATGGTAAGCAATAAGAAAAGTACTAACTTTAAGAATGAGCCGTACTGAATTAATCTCAATTACATTTCATTTTAGCATCAGTATTTTACATTCATCAAGTCATCTCTATGTTGCTGAGCTTAGCTCTGTACACACAAGTGTAATATAATCCAGGAAAAAGAAATGGTATTATTCCCCATTAACACAAGCCATACAGATACCACGCAATACTAAGCCCATCAAAAGACATATCAACCAGAAAAATGCAGTTAAAAAAGAAAAGAAAAGAAAAGGGAAAGAAAGAGGTGCAAAATTCACCTACCTCCATACTCAAAAAATTATGGTATACAATAATTCGCGGCGACCAGCCAATTATTTCAGGTTTGACCTACATAAACAAGGAAAGATGAATCATAAGCTATTTGTGAACCGGGCTGGCAGCACTAACGAAAAGTTATTTCTGAAAAAAGAAAATAAGAAAAAGAAAGGAAGAAATAAAATATATTTTGAATAAAGCAAATTGAGAATTCAACAAATCTCAAATAGAGTTGAATGGTAGAGTGCACTCAAAAGACAGATAATAAGTTTAAATCATAAAAGGGTTAAGCGTGTGCCACTGTGTAGTCAGAGCCGATTCGTTTGGGCTTAAATGGTTTTCCAATGACAATTTTAAAAGATTGTTGGGAGACAATGAAGGACAATAATTCGAAGTTTTTCAACAGTAAAGTTCTTAATAGTTATAAGGTGCTTCATTTAAGCTTCCTCTATTTGTGGATTGATAAAAATGAGATGTTTGTTTGTATTAAATATTTTACGCATATATGCTTCTCGATGTTATTATAAGATCCCAAAAAACTTGTCTTTAAAACCCAGGAGAAGCTCCAGAATACCAATTCTTTGTCCTACAGTGCTTTTGTTAAAGGTCACCAATCTTTTCACACAGTGATTGTCGAAGAAGCAATTGAGAATTCCAAGAGAAGTGGTCAGGAAATATTATTTTCAAGATTGATTTTGAATAGGTTAACTGTCATGTGCAATTGGATTTTCTTAGATTGTGTTGGAGAAGAAAGGTTTTGGGATTGGAAAATGTGCATCAGTGGTTGCTTGACATCAATGAATTTTAATGCGGTCATCAATGGCGAAGCATAATGGTGATTTAAAAAGCTAGTAGAATATGAGTTACTGTGACCACACTCTTGACTTTTTTTGTTCACAATGGTGGTGGAAATATTTAATCTCAACCTAGTGGTTATTAAAGTCAAATCATGAGGGCTCATGAAGGTTTTGTGATCGGTAGTAGGATTGTGGGCTCTCATCTTCAATATATGAAATGCACCACTTTTCTCTCATCTTCAATATGACTCATTATAAAAAATAGTACTTACAGAAAAATAGATTGACAAAATGGCCGCATCTTTAGGACCTCCCAACTTCCATTAGCAGTTCCCCAGCTTTGTGTAGTAATTGCAATCGAAATAATATTACATGGTGGAGCAAGAGGGGAAGTGACTAGATGATCAGAAGAGAAGTTTCATTTTTAGTAGGTGGTAGACTCACTTTAATCTAGTATATATATATATATATATATATATATATATATATATATATATATATATATATATAATATTTATAATCAAGACCTGTTTAACATTTCTAACTGCTACCCCACTACTTTTATAGTGCCGGTTAGTAATGGTTATAAATTAGAAAATACGCAAAACAACTCTTTTTGGGGGATGTTTTTTAAGAGAGGCAGCATAAAGGTTAGTTAAATGGGAAGGATTTCGCCCTCCAAATATCAGGGAGGATTAGGCTTGCAAATTTCACTTGTAGAGATAGTGCCTTCACTACAATGTACTAGTAAAAATTCCCGGTAAAATGAAATTAGCTCTAGCATCTGGTCACATCAAAAGCAAATATGGTATACAAGGCAACAGATGGGATGCTGGAAAATCACCAAAGTTTTAGAAGTTTATCTCATAGGGTACTAATTCCCATATGTTAGGCTGAAGAGAACTGATTTTCAAAAATAATTTTGGTGGGCAGAACTCCATTTTGTTTGCCTTCAGTTATCTTCCACTCTTAAAGTCCACAGCAAAATCCATTTCTAATACAGTACTTAACCCCTCTTGCACAATCAGCTGAGAGCTAATTTTCTTCTCAGATTCTCAATTATGGGGAGAATACTTAGTTGGCCTTCTTTCTTGAAGTTGTTCATGATGTCTACATATCTCCTTATTCTCCAAATGCTCAAGTTTAGGTCGTGTCTCCGTTGCTGGTGCTTATTCTCTAGTCCTTTTTGCTCTTTCTTATTAACAAACTTTGCGCACAAAATCTTGTTGCCTCTGAGTTAATTTGAAAAGGATAAGTTCCTCATCGGCTCATTGGAGATTTAACCAATGAAATGATCTCCACAGATAGTATCCATATCTTCTTTCTTAGTGTATATTGCATGTACATAGGTTGCAGCTCCTTGCTGCTTTTAGTGAATTAGTTATAAGAAAAAAAATGTGTAGAGAAAGTGATTATTGTGACAGATCCTGTTGGCCCTCGGATTCATAATTTTGCATAAATGTATATATAGCGTGTTGGCGTGGGTGATGCAAGAACTTGGAAAGAAGGTTAAGCCACCCCTCACTATGGCCCCACCATGAGCACTGACTCAAATAGGCAAAAGGAGCACCCTGCCAATAGTGCCGTATCATCTTCTATTTATTAAATTATATTTTGAAAAGAAAAAAAAAAAAATTTTGCTCTACCATTCAGTCTTCATGGCAATGACCCATTGGTAGAGTTGATATAGGATTTAGGAAGGCCGACTTTGGGTAGTTACAATGGTAGAAATAATTTCTGAAAGGATAGGCAAGAGTAAGAGAGGCAAATGTAACCAGGTTTGCTCGTTTTAATGATGTGCGTGATCCAGACCAAGAGAAAATGCTAGTATTTTAGAAAAGTGCGAGGATTCGAATCAAACTTGGGATAGAGTAAATCTTTTGGCTTCTTTCTGGACTTTGGTTGAGCTTAAAGTGGTACTTATGTCAATTCAATTGGATTGGATAGCAGGTTATTCATATAACTCTCCCACTGATACAACTATGATTTTACTGAAACCCCCTCTTAGAGTGGTTAAGTACTCCGTTTGTTTAGATGTAACAAAAAAAAAAAAAAAAATTCATTGTAAAACATTTTTCATGTAAAGTATTTTATCCATAAAACATTTTTTTTTTTTTAAAAAAAAAAAAAATTCATGTTCAGCATAAATACTGAAAATATTTTTAAAAAAATAAAAAGTTCCATTTTTCTTTAATTTCAATGGCTCTTCATATATATATGTAGTAAAATTTTCATCATATTAAATCTATTGATGAAGAGGAGGCGGGAGCCGAGAGAAATGAGAGAGAACAGTGATCAGAGAGATTAAAGAAATATAAGGCAAATGGAAGTTTTAGGAAGTCATTTTCAGTAGCAATCATAATCGTGGGAGCTCTCTCAAAAGCATTGCCAGTAGGCAGTAGCAGTCATAATTGATAGAGCTCTCTCCCTTTCTGTTTTGACACTCGGGAAGTTGAGTAATGTCAAGACTCAATTCATAAAATGTTTTACAGAAATTGTATCCCACAAGTCATTTTTGGCCTTTTGGTGTAAAATCATTTCATTGTAAATCATTTTACAAATTTTAAAAGGTAACCAAACACCGGAAAACATTCTACCAGGAATCAAGGCAAATTGGAGCAGATGGTACTTTTAATGATCATAGCAAAGTAGGTTATATTAAACTACTAAAGCAGCGATAACTGTGCCTAAAGGTCTTAAAGTGGAGGTATCATTGGGATGAAGCCATTTTGGTGGACGATGATTTCTCAGGTTATTGGATGGTCATAGAGGCAAAGGAATTAATGTTAAATCACTTCATTGAGGCAATTTCCGTGATGAGTCTGCAGCTATACAAGCTACACAAATGTTTTCTTCTATTCAATCCATACTTTGGCTAATGGCAAATGGGGTTCATGAATCTGATTCATGACAAAGCCTATAAAATAGGTTATCACTACTCCGTTAATTTAGGTGTTTAGGATATCTTTCGTGCTGGAACTTGGGTTTCCTTCCCTACATTTTCATCTTTTCTGGTAGGATGCAGGGCTATGTGCATGATTAATAATCTTAAGTAAATATGTTATAATCTATAAATAAGAAGAAAATAATAATAATAATTGTGTGATGAATTAGTGCATGCAGAGAGAAGGAGAGTGAGTGACACAATGGTGGTCTTGCCCATGACTCATGACAATTTGTGACAAATAACAGGTTTTCACTCCTCCAGTCTTTAAATAATCAAATTCGTTTTATTGCATTGCCTCACCCCAAACATCCACACAAAGAAAACCACTGCTAACCAATCATGAGATTCTTTGCCATACTCATTTGTGAATAATTTCAGGCTGGGAAAAGTTGAGACTTGGATTGATTTACAAGGCAGGTCTAACAACGAGCTGTGTCATTGAGAGCATAATATTAGACAATGCGTATGACTCATGAATATTAAACTTGTTTCATACACTTTCCTACACATTATTACCTTTCAAAGGCTGCAACTAGTTGATTACAGTTCAAACCTTTGGACTGAATATAAAAGGTACAAATAAAGGAGGGGTGGGGAAGGGGAGAGTATCCCAACAAAGTGTAAAGGAATGAGAGAATGAAAGGCATAAGAACAGAAAAAATGTGCATATCATGAACGATAGACTTAACCTCTCAGTTCTAAACAAATATCAAGCACTTCTCTGGGTTTTGATATATTATATAACCTCATGGTTTTAATTTTCTTTGCGTAAATTCATTTAGTGTTCAAAAAACCGAAAAAAGCACGTTCAAGTATCAATTTTTGTAACATAACATGAAGGGCTAGGTCTATCTCCATTCTTTCCCTTCTTAGGCCAGACCAGCACTAGGCAATGACCTTTATTATCTTTTTTGGATCCTCTGCTATAATTCCACATTATGCTGCCTTCCTTATTTCAAATTTGATAGGTAGGGGGTACATGATGTTGTCTCAACGTCCTATTATAATAAGGTTTCCATTGTAGAGTTGCTTTTTGTCAGAAAAGTTTAAGCTGGGTAATAAGAAATTATATTCTTTGTCCAACTTGGAACTTGGATTAGGACCCATAAGTATCTGATAAGAGAAATTTAATTCGTGAGGAGAGAGGCCTTTAAGGGTTCCAAAGGAATTACAGAGATGAGTTGTGCAGAGACCAGATCTCACCAAAGGTAGGCTATAAAGTGGGACTTGCTTCAAGAGAACTGGATGAGCAGGGAAGTGAGTGTAGTTGATGAGTCTAAACATCCTTGGATGTAGAACATGTTCTGCTGAACAGTATTATATATTGTTTCCTTTCTGAGTTTATTTATTTATTGATAAAATTCGTGATTGGATCTTTGTGTTGATTTGCTTCTGCCTGCACAACACATAATGAGAGACCCAGCATTAAGCCATTTATGTATGTACAAAGATTGTGAACATACATATCCAAGACGTAAAATAACGGCGTCCTTGTCATTAGCCCAATGAGAAATGCCTGAAATCAAAGAAAACATTTAGTAAAATGCAGATGCAATCTTTATGCTACTGAAAATCAATTAATCATGAGTACAGAATTTACAATGCGATCCAAAATTTTGAAATGCATGTCATCAAAATAACAATTGAGTTGGTGTGACAAACAAAAGTAGTGCAATAGGTTCTACTCAGACAGCAAAAAAATATATATATGAAAAAAGATAATAATAATAACCTCATCGTAAATAAGAAAACTCGACTTAGCACTTTTAACTCTTTTCTCAACTGCAGCCAAATCTCTATCCAAAAGTTTTAAATGAATAGATGAAAATATTGGCTGATGTTATTATTTTCTTGTGCATAACTCAACCACATGAATTCATGCATATTTCCAACGGAAACTAACCATACTGACCTCCTGACAACTGCAGATTGACAACATTCTGACTTTCATGCATTCTTCTATGTGAAGGGAAATCAGTGCCTGAAAAGGATACAAATTATCATTCAATAAATAATATATATATATATATATATAGTTAAAGGCATTGTAATAGGTTCTATAATAAATTCTAAAAGCAACAATATGGATAAACAAAAAATGGAACAGAAGAATGTTATGTTGATAGATCCATCCGCAAAACAGTAGAACCACAATGAAAAATATAGTAATTGAAATGAAACAATGTAAGCACGTTGGACTTATAACATGGAGGAATAAATACACTTCACATATAGTTTTCCATCTCAAGAAAGATTAATCTAGAAAATTGTCTTAACATTTATGAAGCCTTGCTGATAAGTGAACTGAGAAGCCTGTATACAGTTTGAGCTTTGCTCAGTTGCAGCAACAACACAGCTTGTTGAAGCTCATGCACAGTTGCCTTATAGTGAATATTACTCCCTCCATCCCAAAATAAGTTTCCCTTTCAGAGATGCCGACTATTTTGATGCATGTCCTTTTAAAATTCCAAACTTAATGCTCCAAAATTCTAAACTTAAACTGCTAATTTGGGGAAGTTTAAAAAGGATAATTTTGTAAGTGTCCTTTCCTTATTAAAATATCTTTATTGCAAATCTCTACTTCCGGAAAGTTGTTCGCTTGCATGGAGTGCCAAAAACAATCACATCACACCGAGAATCCAAGTTTTTGTCACATTTCTGGAGAGCCTTGTGGGAAAAATTAGGAACTGGGATGCAGTATAGTAGTTCCTACCATCCTCAAACGGATGGACAAATTGAGGTAATCAATAGAAGTTTGGGAAATATATGAGGTGTTTGGTTGGCAAACACCCAAAGCAATGGGAATTTGCCTATAATTACTGTAAGAATCGAACTACCGGAAAAAGTCCACCTTCATATTGAAGACAACAAACTCCTTTTTATGATTTGGCTCCTATACCACAGATTGGGAAGAGCAATGCAAAGGGTGAAACAATGGATGATGAAATGCAAAGGTTGCATGATCAAATCAGGAAAAGGATTTGACTCCTTGGAATCTGTTTTAGGGCACAAAAGGATTCTCCCCGCCCTCAACACACACAGAACACAAAGAAAATAGGAAAAGTCGGATTTCTTGGTTGGACAATGGCACTTTGGAAAATTCTTGCAATTGATCACTTGAGGAAGATGAATAAGTTGATAATTGACATGTGCCGCATGTGCAAGTGAGACAAAATTAATTTTCAGTCGGTGCATTGTCCAATGGCCATGAATTGGGAGCATTCTTATTCTATCTATTTTGTTGATGAAGTCTAGATCACGGTCAAAACACCAGTGACGTCGACAGCTTTTATAGTGATAACTAGACTGTAACAGGTTGTTCTGTAGTGTGCTTGATGGAGTATTTGCCTATCTGGTGTGAATGGAGCAAGAGGTCATTTTGAAGTGGTTGGATCTCCTATGTTGGTTCTCAAGCATAAAATTTACCGTGCTTTCTAATGATACTTTTTACATATAGAAACAAAGTTCAAATTGAGCCAAACTAAATTTGAGGAATTCCTGCTCTTTCAAAAAAAATTGAACAATGAATAAAATCCACCCTGACTTCTGTATTGGCATTTATTAGTTGCAAAGATTTGACAAAGTGACTTCCAAGCATCAAATATTTTCAGAATTTTTTTATAGCTGACCTTTATCTTCAAAACCAAAATAAAAAGAGACTCCAAATTTTTGTATCTAACCCTTTATTTTCAAAAATCAATACTTCAGAATTGGATGACTATTTTCTCTTCAAAGAGAAAAAAAAGTAAAACCAAACAAATAAGTTGAATTTTTTTTTTCTCGGAAGTTAATAAGTTGATTTCATACTATCATGAGAGGACTCAAAACCTCATCAGGACACCTCTTTTCTCAGAAACAAAAATAATTTTCTTTTTATGATTCAAATTTATTAATTTAAAAATGGGCAAAATGCGAAATTATGATTGATGTGAGGCAAGACAATAAAGGATAAAATTAGAAAATAATATATTCATGAAAGGGTTGAAATAGATACAATTGGAGATAAAATGAGAGAAAAATGGATTAATATGGTCTGGCCATGTGCAGTGACGGTCAATAACTACACTACTGAGGAGAAAAAGTGATGTGGTTCTGATTGAGGGTAATTCTGGGAGAAGTAGAAGGGAAAGACCAAAACTATTATGAATTAATATAGTTAGTAAAGATACAATATCATGTGGTTTAACTGAGACTATGGCCTTAGATGTAGCAGAATGGCAAAATAGAATTCATGTATCGAACCCCAAATAGTTTGGAAAAATCTTTTTGAGTTGATATGATTAATATAAAAATGAAGCTTGAAAGGGTCCATTCCTATAATGATACAATAAAATCAAGACATGAACTTAGAGAACCATAAAAACTTATTTCTTCAGAACCAATAAGGACCATGAAACAGTCTTTACAACAATATTCAATGATAGCTAAGTCAAATCCCTCAAATTTGTGCTGAAAACAAATACCTAAATATAACGCAAGTAATTGGTGAGATTTGAATAGCAACTTCCCCATCTACATTTGAGAAAAATCTGTTTCTTAAACAATTTTTGGAAAGCAAACAATATGTAACTTGTAGGTTGCATTAACATTGGTCAATTACAAAGGACTGATAACTATTTTATGGGTAACAAAAGACTGATGACTATTTTATGGGTAACATTTGTCTTCAAAAACCAAAACCAAACAATATTGTAAAACTTTGTATGAATACTGTTGAAAGATATAAAACTTGAAGAGAGAAATTAAACATGAAGAACACAAGGATAGGCACAGAAAGCCCAAAGGGCTACATCACCTTTATTATATTCTCCCTTCATATTGTTTACAATCAGCACCTCTATTTATAGGTGAAAGAATACAAGTGACAAATATGGAAATACATTGATGGAGGATTCCTAAAATCAATCTAATAAATCACTCCAATCAAAATTCTATCGTAGGCTAAAATCACTCTTATGATAATCTCCAACAAATACCTTATTTCAAAATCCTAAACAAATTTTTTTTTTCCTAGTTGGTAGTCACACACCCCCCATCAAGGAATTATTTGCACCCAAGATGATTCAAACCATAGACCTGCTAAACAAATATTTCAAATGGGACAGCTATTGATTTCCTAAAAGCAGAAAAGGAGAATCAAAGAAATATGTTTTTTTCCCGGTAAATGAATCAAACAAATATGTTGATTTCAAATTTCCCTAAAATAACTCTCAAAATCTCAACAAACACCTCTCTTTTCAAAACAAAAACCATTTTCTTAACCTGTTTATTTTTTCACTAATTAATAAAAAAAATTTGAAGCTCAAAACAGTCATTCAGGCAACAGTTTATGAAAAAAGAACAGACTTGAATGAAATGGGTGACAAATCTCTAAGGGAAGAAGAACCATATAAATTAAGTTTTCACAGCCATAGGAACCATTGCTTGATGTAAGAGGGAAAGACTGCAAGACTGAGAATCCAAATTTGATCCTGAGACCAGTCATTTTGTGCAAAATAAAAGTTACTTATCAAAAAAAAAAAATTGTGCAAAATAAAAGCGAAAATTAGATCCATTTCTGATCCACCCCTCAAACCAACCATTGTTAATGGCCCAACCAATCAAGATAATAAACGTAGACCAAGAGATTGCAATTTTCAGGAAGCATATGACAAAATTAGTCACATTTAAATTTTATAGAATATGTCAAAATAGTGGAACAGATTAACACATTGAAAGCCAAGCTATAAGCATAAAAGAAACTCAAACAGTTTTTATCTCTTGAAAGATGATATGATTGAGAAAATCTACCATACGAATCTTCTAATCTTCGAATAAATGCCAATTGAAATAAAGCTCCTGCAAATCAGAAAGTCAAAATGTCATTGCTATTAAGTTTTACCACATCACTGAAAAAGACAACTACAAGCACATTTCATAGACATCATCCCTTTATAATAGCACTTATATTTCAAAAAGAAAAAATTAAAAGTAATCTGCAGATACTAAACTAAAACTAATAATTGTCTGAAATCAACCCCAAGCGTGAACATTAATGTTACATAAAAGACGCGGCCAAAGTAAAGCATTTTCATGAAACCAACACAAATGGGCCACTCACTTAAACTCACGTGCATTTATGTTTATTTCGTTCCCAAACTTTAACATTTGCAAGATTTATAAGTCAGTAAACTATGTATATTTAAAATTGTCGACATTGAAGAATAAAAAATGTTTCCTATGGAATTAATTATATCGATCCAGAGGACTCCAACACGAAGTATGCATCAGATGCTGCCATGACAAATATGCCCAGAGGGTTATCTTGAAACTTCAAAGAACAAAGCAATTATAGGAGCCCACAATTATTGAAATTGGTTTTTCAAGCACCATACCTCATCTATTTTTGGTTGGGCAATTTCAGAAAAGACTGAAACTATGCGGTGCAGATGACTGGAGGTGGTGGTGCTGCTGATGGAGAAAAAAGATAGAACAAGAGAGGGGACAATGGGAGTGGAGTGGAGTGAAGTGATCTAGAGAGAGAAACATGTGATAGAGAAAGATAGTGATGGTGAGCAAATGAAGAAAATAGAGAAGGATAATTTGGTAAATTCGGTCAACAAAAAAGTTATAAATGAATATAATCATACGAAGAATAACATGGTAAAACCTCAATAGATATCTTGGGTCATCATTGTTCATCACTCCCAAAACTTCATTCGGTAGTAATTACCCTAAATATTAAGGGAGGTCAGAGTTATTTACCCAATATTTAGTGATTACTATGAGTTTAGAGGTGAGCTAAGGTTGTTAGAGAGAGAATAAAAATATGGGGTAGATTTTTCTATTTGGCATTTGGTTATTCGGCTATCACAGCCATTACAAAGTTTATAGGCAGTAACAGACCAAGTCAAGGTGAATCGGCCCAAGTCCCTATCGAGTCACCCGTGATTTTCATTCCCAAGTATATAACTACCACAACAGGACAAATCCATTATGACTCACCCGAGTCACCACGTATTGGCATAGTCCCTCAACAATGGGCTCCAAAGGCAAATGTTCTTTGTAGTTTTTTAAAACCTTGTCCATTCTTCTTTTAGGTTAACATATTGCTTAGTTATGTTTTCTATGTTTTACTAAATCAAAGAATATTTAAGATTTCATGATTTTTTGGACAAGCCAGTATGAAGGATAGACACCAATACCGGATAAGGAGACAACACAATATGATCATGGCAATACAACAAAATTTTTAAAATAATTACGCAAAAAACAAGACAATGTATGTGTGTATATATTGAATTAATGCAAATATATGTAATTTTAATATGTATATATCAATCTCTGTATACATTTAACATAGTAATTGTTTTTTATGTTATATATATTGTTATTTAGAGTTTCCTTATAAAAAAAATATTAAGACTAACAAGTTAAAATTTAGAAAGCATAAACATAAAATTTAGACTAAATTATATATGATATATTCTCATCAATGTACCTGTTCTAAAGAAATTCTACATATTTGGATTCCATGTTGTGATTTTCCCAACAATTACTATGATTCTCCAAAAATTTGTGTGGTACCGGTGTATAAATAGGTAATGGTATTTAAACTGTCTAGACTCTAGTTGGACATATAAATAGCAAGCATATTCAACAAATTAAATTTTATAATATAATTATACGTAAACTCATTTATTAAGATCCTCTCCTTACATTATTGCTTCAAAATGAGTGAATTAACAAAAAAAAAAAATAATAATTAAACAATATAATTTTTTAGTCATGTCCCTGTATTCTTAGATTTGGAGATTTGACAAATTGCGATGCTTGGACAAAATACTCACACCTAACACACATACTTAAGTCCAAGTAATAGAGGTCTATGTAAAATAGTCGGGCACATCTCAGACACAAGCACTTTTTCGACACCCGCGTACGCTTGACTGACATATTTTGAACGTGTCCAAATTTTTAAAATAAAATTCTTAACATTGCATACATGGCCAACACTTATTGAACACTTGCCAACATGTGACTAACGAACCTCAAACCCTCTTTTTTTATTCAAAAGCCCCAAGTCGGTATGATTTTTGATATGAAGGAAACTGCAATTATAAGGAAAAACACATTGAAGGCTTATATATTTATAAAAATAAAAATAAAATAAAAATAATAAAAAATAAAAATAAAAAACTATAATTTTAATAACTTTACCGCCCACTGAACATTCCAAGCCCTTAATTAGTTACTACCAACATGTGATTGATGAATCTTAAGCATTGGATAAGAGACCGACGTCACCGACATGAATGAGATTACTTCAACACCGACACTTCTCAAACAATCCTGGACACATGTCCAATGTTTCTTGGAGAAATCCATCATTTAAAATAAAATTCTTAATTTCACACGTGCATGACATTTTGCAACATATGCTCACATGTGACTAATGAATCTTCTGAAACACTGAATATGCTAATATAATCTTAATTCTTAATTTTCCTTTCAAACTTATTTGATATTCTTTGTCATATAAGACACCACTAGTCTACCACCATTATGTCCAAATTGTTTCAATCCTACTATTTTAATCCCATCTATCTCTTCATCTTTTTAATATAGTTGATCCTAAATTGCTGAATTAGTTATTTTGATTATTTGGTTTTGAGTTGTTATCGCCATTTTATCAATCGTTTTTGAAATATTACTAAATTTTACATTCCACAATTTATGTTTTAGTCCTAATCAGTTTTTAGCCTTTTGACTCTAGTTAAATTCTCTTCTAGGGTTTCTTTAGAATGATCCAAAAACATTATGCCATCGGCAAACAATGTGCAAAATGGAAAGTCTCGTTGTAAGTCTGTCATTATTTTATCTAAAAGTACAAGGAATAAATATGAGCTTGGCGTTGATCCTAGTGTAATCCTACATTTATAGAAAAATCATCTGTTTATCCACATGTAAAACTAACTATAATCTTTGTATCCATATATATAATCTAAATAACTTATATAAACTTGTGGATGTGGTTTAGGCCACGTCATCGAGAGTTAAATCAAGCTGACCCCACATCAGTACCAGCTTCGAACAAGAAGACAAATTGACCAACACCTGGTCGATGTTGGAATCCTAACTCAGCAAAAGTTGATCCGACCAAGCCACAAACTGTCGATCAACGGGCCTTGAACCTCAAGCCGACCAAGCCACAAACTGTCGATCAACGGGCCTTGAACCTCGATCCGACCAAACCACAAACTGTCGATCGACGGGCCTTGAACCTCGATCCGACCAAGCCACAAACTATCGATCAAAGGACCTTGAACCTCGATCGGACCTAGCCACAAACTGTCGATCGATGGGCCTTGAACTTCGATCCGACCAAGCCACAAACTATCGGTCGACGGGTCTTGATCCCCGATCTGACCAAACCGCATTCTCCTAAGTAAAATGAACAACGAAGAGTAATGGTAGGACTCTTCGATACCAGGGGGAACGCAGAAAGGACTTTGGAATGGAGGATGGAAAATTAGCTAAGTCTTGCTAAGGCAGGACCAAATTTGAGGATAAAAGCGAAAGACATGCTGGAGTAAGTACAGAAACCTTTACAGCTAGCCCCCATTTAGGTCATTCAAGGAAAATCGTACACTTGGTAGCAGAATCGAAGGAACGGGGATTAGGGCATCATGATCCATAAAGGGACATGGGCCCTGACTCATCTGATCTGGAGCCCAACAAATACCACCTAAATAACCTAAGGACTATATAGAGATAGCAAAGGCAGAAAAGAACAACAAGAATTTCTGGCTCTGACAATACTCCAGGCTTCGTCTTCTCTACCATCGCTTCAGTCCTCAGATTGGGCTGGTTTTCTCTCCCTCAATCCACTCTTTTGTATTCCTCATATTGTTTTAGTGGTATATCCCAGATATTTTGATCTCTCAGCTATCATCGAAAAACAGGCACATACAAAACTTTATATGATTTATTTACTTCGTAAAGTCCACCAAATTACATCCATTGGTACTCTATCATGTGTCTTTGCTAAGTCTAAGAAAACTATGTGCAGATATTTTTTTCTACTTCTACAATTCTCTACTAACTGTTTTATTAAGTAAATGATCTTCTTACATCTTAAAATGCAATTAACGTCCCTCAAAATAAATATTGAAAGTCCCTTTTCTTGTAGTAAACATATTCTTCATTTAAAGAATCTTGCTGCAAGCAGCTGGTGTTCTACTAAGGATGATTTCATTTAAACAAGATGGCTAATTTGATTCTATTTTGAGTTTATTTAGACAAAAGATGGGTTGATTTGATTCACTTCGATATAGAATATGTAACAGTCATCAATCTCATGTTGTTACTAGATTTATGAGCTCATGGCGATTAGACAGAAGGTGAAGGAAAAACTTGGTTGCAATTTTTTCCTACCCTAGCTAGAATATAAAATAAATATATATAGATACGAAAACATCAGAGGAACTGTATGATGAATATGATTCTCAGCTCGTGATCAATCAAAGAGGAGTAGGTTCAGAAGGGCACATCCTGCGAATGACAGTACAACAATTACGAAACCTCTGTGATATGTAAGAAGTCTTTGGGGGAAAAACAGATCCCACCTGCACTCTATAATCATACCCAACACAACCATAAAGTGATAATCACAATATAAAGTATACTACTACAAGATGGTGCTACATATACACCATCTAAAATATGGTGCATTTCTGTTGCAATTAGCCAAAAAAAAACAGTACACACTCTCTGTTTCAACTTCTAGTTATTTTTCTTTTTTCTTTTTCTTGTTCAGGTGTTCCTATTTATAATGATCAATTATTTTTCTTTTTGTTTTTAGATTAAACTTATTTCCTATTTCAATCTTAGTGGGAGCAAGAACAGCAGAAAGAATGAAACATATCTATAATTTATATTAAGATACAATATATTTTTCCTTCAAAAATCTTTTCACGTATTAACAATTTTTATGAACGTTCAAACTCTCATAGAGATAGATATAGGCAAAATATTAACATAAATCAAACTATTCCTCACCAAGACAAAATAGTGTCACTGAGTTGCCTTGGCTATATTGAGCATAATAAGTTAATAAATAACTCTCATGCCGAAGAAGTGAACTGATACCTTTTACAACTAAAGGCTATTACATCAAAGGTGTTTAAGATGGGGCACATCCCATGTATACTAGAATTATCGGTGATAACCTACATAACTTAGCTACTTATATCTATATAATCTACAAAATCTGACAAGGACTCCTCAGGTTGATAGATGTGACCTGTCAACCATCCTAACAAAGGACTCAAAGTTACTCTTCAACTTAAAACCCATGCATGCCACCAAACGATCTCCTGTTCCTTACTCTCTAGATACACGACATCAAACAAAGTGGTGCCATATGCCAGGTTTCTATTCATTCTCTCAACCCTACCTCTTCCCGAGCTAGAGCACAGAGGAGTCACCGACTAGGAAAGCTCAACTCATCCCAAATTGATTCAATAGTAAAGCCCAAAATTTCCTAGTCATTGGAGGATACTCCAACAAGTCATGCATTGACTCGATCCTCCTTGAATATGCAGCACCAATTAGGTGACTAAAACATGAGAAGGCATAAAACAAGCCAACTCAAAACAGATCCATATCCTAATCTGTCTTAACTTATAAGGAATGAACCAATAATTATTCAGTCAATTTAGAACAAAAAGCTTTTAAGACATGTTGGTAAATTTATGATTTTTTATTTTTATTTTTAATTTCAGTATATCATTCCCTTTATCTACTGTAACCTAACAAAATTCCATTAGAAAGCTCACAATTTCAGTGGATCAACAATTTGGCAATAGCAGACAAATATTACCATTTATAGACTGATCATAATAAAGAACCCACTGCTCAACTGCCCATTCTACAACAACTATTCGGCTTAAATAAGTTGACTTTCCATCATTAACATAAACATCAAAGCTTGAAATACTTTTCTAGTTTTTTTTCCCTTGATTTTTTTAGCTAACCAACAAAGAGTAAGAACACAGATCATATAGATAACTAGTCCAAGCATCAAAATCAAGAAAAAACAAGAACTATATAAAAGGCCAAAAATAGATAAAATAGATCCAAATCATACAGTGATACACGTATACAAACAACAAATATATACCACGCACAAACACATATACTATACACAAATACATAAAAATGTATATATATTGATCAGAAAATTACCGATAATCATTCCTACAGTGACAAATGTTAGCAATCCGAACACTATTTTCATTGGGGACGCCATGGTCAGAGGAAGAGCGACAGCTTAGAGAGAGAGAGAGAAATTCCTGCCGAACAAAGCTATGGAGCAACGGATCTACAAGGGAATCGAGAATTTGAAACCAGTTTTGTAACTGTTATAATAACAAACCCACTTTGTTTACGCCCATTGATTTTGCATTGCCTTATTTTCATACCAATTTCTAACGAAAAAACAATACGGAATGGGTGGACTGGTTGACTCGGGTCGGGTTTAAACTTGTTGATTGGGTAACATTGGGAAGTCAATGCATCTGACGTGAGGAATGGGTTTCATCTGTAGGAATCGAATTATCTTCCCATGCCTTATGGTGTTGGCGCGTGAGGGATGCCAGTGGGTCGGGTTCAAGATGGATGGGGCATTCTTTTTTAATATTTTTTTAATTGGTACTCACACCCTCTCAATTCTATTAATTTTTTTTTCTTCTTAAAAATAACATACTAAGTTAAAGCGCCAATAAATTATTTCAAGTATTTACTGTCTTAGACGGAAAATTTGAAATAATAGCGTTGGATTTTCATAAAAACACAAGAGAGTCAACCCACACAATAAATGGAGAGTCAACACATTAAATTTAGTCTTAGAATAATGATTTTGACAAAATCATTTTTTGAACATACTAGTGTACCATGCCAGGTTTTTATTCAGGACAATAGTTAGGTTGTCATTAGTGAGAATGTACACACAATCTTGACTGTTGATTTGGACAAATAATATATGGACATATGGTGAAATAAATGCTCATCTACCACGTCACAGATGATAGATTAAATTTTCATATTTTATTTTATAATAAAAATATAACGTGTTCATTTATTATTAGTCCATGAACAATCAACAAATGCACCATTTGATCTTCTTTGAATATAAATCACACATGTACACCTTATTATTATTTTATTATAAGTAACTTCTTTCTATTCTGAGGTCCAAAGAGGAACCTTCAAGGGCAACTTTCAAGAATTGATGCTATCCCGTCTACAAAAGTGAATCAAATTCACAAGAATTGGAGCTTCCTAACTAGGGATGGCAATTTAACCCACCTCGTGGTTACCCGCCCCATCCCGCACCATTTTTGGTGATTTTAAGGGACCGTTTTGCTTATTTGGACGATAATGGTTTGATATAATAAAAACCCGCACGGATTTGGTGCGAAGGCGGGAGAGGTCGCCTCGCTCGCACCGCCTCGCCCCGTTTAGATAGGCAAATTACTTAAGTACCTTTATTTCATTAATATATATATTTCCCACTATATATTAAGTACCTTACGTAACAATATTAAAGTAACAAATGAATTTGATTAAAAGGAAATTTGTAATGGTGAAGAATTGAAGATAAGGAGGGAAAAAAATAGCAAATTTATTTCAATAACAAATAAATTATGGTTTTAAACGGAGCGGGTACTTGGGGGATAAAAATGTTAAACGGTTATGGGGATGGGGTGGAAAGTTTTTCCGTTTTTGCTATTTTAGGCAAGAATGGGGGTAAAATTTTTAAACGGTTGTGAGGGCGGGAGAGGATACACCTGCCTAAACCCACCCTCGTTGATATTCTTATTCCTAACTAGTACAAAACTAGCAACTTACCCAATAATCTAGGCCCATAATGGCCCATATGGAAAAGGCCTAATTAGATTTTATTTTCTTATATTGTAAACGCTTTTCACTCCCTATGCGTATGATTGTTACCAAAATCCTACTCTCTCATTCCTTAAATGTGAAATCAATCATACACTATTACTATATTTGGTATATATAAAATTGAAATTGGAAAAAAAAACAACTCAAAAAATTGAACTAAATTTTTTTTAATTTTACAAATTCTAATTCAAAGATTCGAATTCCATACAGTCAAACACACCTTATGTAAAAATATGGAAAAGGCCAACCAGAAAAGTAGTAGAACAAAGAATGTTATGCTACGTTTGGTGTGCAAAAATGGAATGGAATGGAATGGAATGCTCATTCCAACCATTCAGTTATTTGGTGTGCAAGAATGGAATGGAATGACCATTCCAATGGAATGAAAATCCATTTCATTAGTAAACCTATGGAATGATTATTCCATTTAATAGTAAGATAAAATATTTGTGTAATATTCCTAATAAGCCCTTAATTACATTCCAATAAGGCAAAAATATTTCGCATTCACCAAAAATCTTTCACATTCCATTTTTCATATTTATCGGCTTCTTTATTAGACGTAAATGTCTTTCATCTTCCCTTTCTTCTGAATATATCCAGAGCTGTCATTGACAAAAAGTTGCAGGACTTTCAACCAAATTGCAGGTATTAATTTCTTTATTTATTTATTTTTGATAAGTAGATATTAAATCTCTTTTATCTTCTGATTATATTACTTTTTTATTTTTATTATTTATTTATTTATTTATTTTTTGCAGCTTTGTGTTAAAACATTTGTGTAATCATCTGGAACTAAAGGTGGACTTGTTTGACTTTTGGACCCTTAGTCAAGTTCATCGTTGGATGATTGGAGAACCTTGCTTGATTAGAATTTTATCAAAACTAGAATTTTCAAGAAATCTACAATAAAAAAAATGAAAAAAAAAAAATATGGGGGAGAAAGAATAGAGTAATAGGAGGGTTTGCAGCCGCAAAGACTTGGTGATGGTTGCGGAAATTTTCTATGGGTCCTACGGGCTCATTCTTAGTTAAACCACCATTCTTTGCTGGGATTACATAATATTTACTTGTGTGTATAATATATATATATAGATACACACACACACACACATACACAACTACATATAATGTATCTACATGTATGAAATATAAATTAATTTCTTTATTTATTTATTTTTGATAAGTAGTTTTTGAATTTTATTATGAATGCTGTGAATGATTATTTGGTTAATTTTGTGATGGGTGTGTGGCACTTTTTGGTGATACTTTGTTTAATTATTTTAATAATGCTTTGGATTCCTTAATTTTAATTTGTTCATGCAATGATATTAGCTTATGATATTAGTTTGATTTTGACCCATGAGCTCCTAGTTTAACTTCCAACTAAAAACTGGTGCTTAAGACAAATTACGAGTTACCTCATAGTTGTTCTTACACAAGTACTTGGAAATATTACAAAGTTTTTTTTGTTCGGTTGATGATTTATTTATTTCCTTAACTTTATTTGAGTTGATATTATGGTGCATGGTTTTTTTATATATTATTAATATTGATATATCATTATATATACATATATATATATATATATATATATATATATATTTATCCTTTACATCAACTTCTTAAGTTAAGTATTCAATCATGATGAGTTGGTTTAGTTATAATTTTTTTATTTTTCTTTCCTCTAATGAAAAGGGCATTTTTGAGAAAAGGCATTCCTTTCCAAATTTAATGATACTCAACCAAACAAAAGAATGAAAATAATCATTCGATTCCATAACGATTCCGCGTGTCACTCCAAACATTAGAATGGTAATACTCATTCCATTTTATTTTCATTCTCATTCTATTCTAAGTTTTTTTTCTATTTCATTCATGCATACCAAATGTAGCATTAGTGTCTCTCCATCATGTACATGGCTATAACCTCAGAATGCTGGCCTTCATTATCAATCTATATTTACTTTGGACAGAGAGAGTTATGGGCTTGTTTATTTGCCTCCTTTGTTGGACTGTAATATTTCTTTGGGCTGGCCCAATGTTTAGTTTGTCTTCACTGCTTTGACTTGGGCCCGGCAGGCTTGTCCGGCTTCAGTAGCTTTTCCTGTTACTCTAAATATTATATAACATTGCTTGAATTTTCAAAAAAATGTCTTCTTAAGTGGTAGAATTGGTTCCGTTATCTTTCTTGTCTGATTTTGAGTCTTCGCACCTCCCTCTCCATTAATCCCTAACATTATTGCCATAAAAAAAAAAATTAAATCAAAGTCTAACTTCATTTTGTTCAAATTGTTTTTTGATTTGCCTGGTCAAACTCGAATTTGCTCTCTATGAACCAAAAACAGATGGAGAATGTCCTAGATCCAGTAACTTCTTAGGCAGAGATACCTTTTTTGTTGACGATGTTTTTTGAAATATTTTTAAAATGACTTTTTCAAACTAAAACAAGACTACATAAAAACAAAACTAATGTTTTAGAGAGAGAGAAAAATGCAAAAAAAAAAAAAAAAAAAAATTTAAGAGTTTTCCTTTCTCTCTTTTGAGTTTATACACAACCTTTTACATTTGTGTAAAAGTTGTATGTACTCTCTATTTGATTATTGTGGATTCTAAGCACTATTAGTGAGATCTTCCAAATTGAAAGAAAGACAAATTAGTCTTATTCTCTCTTGTTTATGATGGATTCTGAAGGTACTAGAGTTGGGAGACTAGTGACCGAAAAATCTCACTAAAATCAATGACTTGTTGAGACCAGTTTAAAAAAACGTTAAAACGGTTGTATTTTTTCTCAACATAGTAGACTATTAACTTAAGACATTATAAGTGAGATATTCATGTTGAAAATGCGATACGTGTCATTTATTCTGTCTCGTTTTATATTGTTGTATTGTTGTTATTATTTTTAATTATTTTGCATTCTTGTTTCTTAATGACTTAGTTTAGATTAGAAAATAAGCAAATACACACACACACATATATGGCAAATTAGTCTTATTCACTTGGAATCATGGTTCGTTGTTATACATACAAATTTTGTAAGTCTGCAAATAAGAAACAAAATAGGGGCAAAAATAATATTTTATTAATTAATAAAGATGGAGTACAATCCTTTGTAATATTCTTTACAAAAAGAAAGGTCTTCTGATTCGATCTCCTTTTTGTTGTTGGTTGCATCTAAGGGTTGCACGAGCTTAATCTTGAATCACCATGGAATTTGGATGAAGAACGGCACGATTTGATGTGCTTATTGTTGATCACCGTGAAATTTGATGCAGAACGACACGTCTTTGGATGTGTTTGATGTTCTTCACTTTTGGGGTTGGATTCTGAATTTGTGTCTCTAATTCTGAGTCTCTGGATTTCTGGACTTTTGAATTCTGAATTTGTGTCTTAATTTCTGGTGGACTTCTGAATTTTTGGACCTTCTGGATTGCTAAACTAGTGTCCCCACTCCTTCTTTCTTCAGGCATTTATTTTTAGCTTTCTTGGATTAATAAGATGATGACACGTGTCATC